AATATATTATCTTGTCAACGAGAAAAAAATGTAAGCAGATAGACGCAAAATGACCCCCCCCCCCCTCCCCATTCTTAAATCTTGAGTCTTTGGTCAGTTTTTGACTACGACTATGTAAATTTGTAATACAAATTTAGAAGTGAAATTATACTATTTATGTATTTTCTCTACCCAAATGCAGTTTTAGCTAATATATCACGATCAACCACTTTTAACCTTTCTTAGATCCGCCACATTAGAATTTCCCGCCATTCAAGTCAGTTGTCGTTAAACAATGCCGTTTTCTTAAAATACACATTGATTTACCGTGAACGGATATAAACATAAAAAATACAGTTATAATAAAATATTGGTAGATTTTATACTGCTTACATGATATCATCTTAACATTCTCTGCAAGCGCTACTTTTCAGCTTGTCGTAAACCGTGTGTTTAGTTCGAAAAACCTCGGGTCATGTTTTGATGATGGCGACAGTGGTGTTAGACAATGGAGCGGGCACAGCTAAAGTGGGGTATGCCACAGATAAAGAACCGAGGTAAGAGAAAAGAGAAAGAATGTTTGTCATGATATTTATCTGAATAAAAATAATATATTTTATATGTCATTGTTGATACAAATACAAAATTTTTAAAAGATGTTGATTGGCAATGTGCACAGTCACAGCTATACACACAACTCTGGAACAATCACTAGATTTAGCTACGTAGCTTGATTTACCTACATAGCTCTATTTACCTACCTGAGGTAGCTTTATTTAGCTACCAAATTGATTTATTTCTATTAAAAAACATTTTTCTCAGGGTGTGCAGAAAATATCATTTTGATGTATATATAGTTAGAATAATCTAACTGGTGTGTCTCGGTACGCAGCACTGTTAAGGCCTACTATGAGAAATCAACGGAAAATAGACGTGCAAAAAAGGGAGATCTTTTTAAAACTTAATTTATTTTAATTAAGCTGTTTTATTATCACAGAACACAAATGCTTATGGAAATAGCATAGTATAACCCACTCTGTACTGTATGAAGTTTGGTCCGATCGATGGACAGTCACGTGATGAATGCATAATTCGTGTACTGAATGTAGGTCATGCACAAATTTTAATATCGCAATGGCATACACAGGTTGAAATTAAAAATTCAAGTTATTATTTGTTTCTGCACACTTTGTAGTTTCTGAAAAGTGCTGCTGCTTTAAATGGAATTTGCGTTTTAATAGTTAAAATTTCAGGTAAATAAGCCAATGTCGAAATATGTTTGACTTTTACCAAATATTTTGTGTACTTATTAAATCACGCCCTCGATTTAAAGAAAGCAGCAGCACTTTTCAAGTTAAGAAAAATATCCTTTATCTATAATCAAATAATGGTTAAGATCTATTAAGTGTATGCCCTTGCGAAAGTGCGGTTTTATGAGGCATCTCGATGTAAAATGTACGTAACCTGTACATAAAAACACAGCATAATTAATAAAATACATTCTCTTGATAGTTAATTAATAATCGCATTAAACAAAGGATATGCATTGTTATTAATCGACTATTTAAAACCTGTAAATAATATTCCGTTTAATAGTAAAACACATCTTTCATTGTTAAAAAAATGTTAAATCTGCCTCTCACAGCACATGAAGTACGTCATTTTTACCAAAATGACGTCATGTTTACAAGTTCATCGCGATCAGTGCTTTGTCTATAACCAGCCACATGGGATTTAACTAGCAAGTTTTTTAAATGCTTTGATAAGTTTTATTGTTGTTGATTATGCTAATACGGCTAAAAAATTGCAAACTATTTCATTTTCAGGTATAATAAGAAATACATAAAAGTGATATTATTGTGTGACGTCACAGTAAACTTTTCCAGTATAAATTAGGCCCCGCCCCCTTATTCACGCCTTAACATTGCTGCGTACAAACCCTCACCACAGTTAGAATACGTCCCATATACTTGCAATGTAGCAAATCGGAGCGGATCCGCTCCGAAATGATTTTGAAGAATAGGTCCGTAGGACATTTATCATTTTAACGATAGAACATTCTATCTAATAGCTAGCTTGCTGCAGTAACTATAGCTCTAATTTGTTGACGGTGCGACCGTTAGGATGAGAGCAGATACTGATTCAGTTTTAATTAAGATCGGGCTCATCAAACTCCACATGACATTTGGTACATCTAGACTTGAAGGAGGTTTTGGAGTCGCTCTTCTGTTTTGCCTTATCTGATTGGTTAATTGTAATACAGTTTAAATCTTTAACCAATCAGATAAGGTGAAACGAAACTGGTTCTTACATTTTCCTAGTACATAAAATATCAAAAATGTATTACCTGGTAGTTGGAGTATAGTATCATGTACATGTATTATTGTAAATAATCTATCACTAGTTAGAATAATCTAACTGACAGTGTTTGAGCTGGGATTCACTCTGTAAGATGGTCTGTTGATGTCCAAGATACTTATACATGGCAAATTGATGTTAAACTGACATTTTTTGTAGTTGTGTAGCTGTTGGACCAGCACTTGAGGAGAAAGAAGAGCATGAAGCTTACGAAATTGGAGAGGTATGTTGCCATGGTAACAGTAATTACATTTATAACATACTAAAAAAATTTAAAAATCAGTTGTAAAAAAAATTTCAATAAAGATTCAAATGTATTCTGATACCTATATCAGAAAAGCGACAAAATTTATGCAGCTCATTAGATAATGAGATTCATCATCTGTTTTAGACATTCATCAATAAAACTTTTGGCTACAGAGGAGTTATATTTGGACAAAATCCTGCCACTCTTCACATAACAGAACCACCAGAACAAGGTCTAGACAGTATGTAAGTATCTTAAAGACAATTCAGAAACCACCTTTCACATAAAAGACACCCCAGAACAAGGCAAGTACAATGTATCTAATGACAATTCATTAAACATTGTTTCTAAACGTGATGGGAGAATTCTGACAGTTAATCTGGTCAGCCACACTTTAGAGTAAGGAGCCGTCAGAATTAGGTCATATGTAAGCAATCACCATCTAAGGAAACCATTCTTTTTATTATCCAGTAATATTTGTAAGATAAGACTTAAAATATATATGCTATATTTTGATATCAACATTTTAAAGTAAATTATCAGTTTTGGCAAATGAGAAACACGTTGATAATAGTAAATATGAAAATCACCAGAGCTTGACATTAGGATGACAATGTTTGCAAAATTTTACTTTGTAGAAAAACAGGTGGCTTCCTAGGAGGCAGGAAGAAAGAGAAGAAACATAAGTATTATCATGTATTGTGTGACGAGAGAGATATTCGCAGGAATGATGTTAGTGTATGTAATACAAACTCTTGTCTCTTGATTTCTCAGACCAATAAAACATACACGTATAGTAATAATCTTGGGGATATTGAATATTCAATTGTACTTTTTTAATAGGTCCAAAGAACTTATACTGCAAGTGATGTTACAAACAAAATGAGTAAATTTTTAGTCCATGTTAGAGGTATGTAAAATGATAGATTTTCTCTCCTTAAAATTCCATCAGTCCAAATGATATATTTGTCTGTTTGTCCATTTTTTTCAAGTTCATACTACATGTATACCTATATCTCTGCTTTCTGCAGTGTAGAACCTTTAAACACATACATATGAACTGGGTCCATGAGAAATTTCTGATTATAAAGGAGTGTAATGTCCTTGGTTACTTTTGACAAGAATGAAGATCAAGGTCACAGGGACTGGAATTAAACTTCATCTTAAATATCTTTTGATAAATATCTTTGAAATGAATCTTATTGGAGAAGAGATTATGTGGAATACAGTCAAAATCAAGGCATGTGTAGTTAGATCACGAGGTGAATTGTGACCCTGAACTATATAAACAAGTACTAAACCTGTACCTTTCTAATGCAAAATTTATTCCACATTTGAACTGAGGTATTTGAAAAGAATCTAAAAGACGAGGATGACTGAAACATAATGTTTATGTAACTCTGTTATATAAGACAACAAGCGAAGTACATGTAATTACTCTGTAACAGTGAGAGAGAAGTGCTACTTATCATTAACCAATGTCATCATTATATGTAGAACTATAACCACTTTTTTTTAAAATTATTTTTAGGTGTTGATTTAGTTCCTCACGAGGATATTCTGCCCTACCAGAGCACAGAAAATCCCATCATAGACAACAAACTGTTCTCTAAATGGCAGAATAATACAGCTGCATTCATTGGTGGGTCTTATACATTCAGCTTCCTTAATATGATCCAAGAATTTGCTATTTAGAAAATACAATCTGTATTATTCAAAAAATTACAATTTACTTCATTAACTTAAAAAATGTGTTTATGATTATAAGCATTCCAATCAAAATTTACAATTTATAAAATCGATGTTGACTTATTTTTTGTGCGAGACATTGAAGTTTGGTATTTTAGAGGAGATCAGTACGCTTTCCTTTATGAGAATAACCAGTGTCTTTCAAGAAACCACGGAAAATGTCCGTGTAACTGTGATGCCATTTTATTTGAAGAAGTCAGAATACGTAAGCTATTACATTAACTACAGAATACACTTTAACAAGTACCATAAAATTAGATATTGCTTTAATTCAGGTTTTATATACCGGGTATGATTTCTCTACAAGAAGAAGTTATGTAGAAACTTCAAAATGCCAAATAAGACTGAAATATTGCCAACAATACTGATTACTCAATCCATCAAAATTATTGTATAGTATACATGTACAAATAAGTTTTTGTTATATATGACACTGCAAACTTTTTCTGATTGAGAATTTTTTAAGTAAGGATTGCAATATTGAAAGTTTTGGTTCAACTTAAAAGTTTATTTTAAAACTTTTTTTAACCGAGAATACATGGTTTTCTTTTTGGTTGCTACAAATTTATCTGAATGCATGTATTTTGTATTGAGGCTCATTTGATCTGTTAGAATAATCTACCGTGTATACTCGCCTATTAGTCGTTTTTTTGGTAGTTAAATTTTAGCCCAAAAGTCTATGTCCGACTTATAGGCGAGTCATAAAAGGATTGGTATTTTTCTGGTCGGCGAAACGTATATTCTACATAAACATGGTTATCGTTGAATAAAGTCTGGATATATCATATCATTATGATTTATGTATTCTAAGATTAAACGTAAAGTACAAGTATTTAGTGATGCAATGTACATGCATATAACAAACTTTTTAAAAATTAAAGTGTTTTGTAAAAATTCAGTGTGCAATTTAAATAACTCCTATGTTGCCTTCAGAATATTTTTGACAATACTTTATATCATTTTCAGACAATTGATGGTAATGGATGAAACATACGTAATAAATCAAGTGAAGGAAGATGTGTGTTATGTATCTACTCAATTCATGAAAGATATGGAAACTGCCAAGTAAGTTGTACAGTAAGGACGCAGCACTGTTAAGGCTAGAAAAAGGGGGCGGGGCCTAATTTATACGGGAAAGGTTTACTGTGACGTCACACAAAAATATGCTTTTTTATGTATTCCTCATATTACCCGAAAATGAAATAATTTGCAACTTTAAACTGTATTAGCATAATAAACAACAATAAAACTTATCAATGCATAAAAAAGAGTTGCTAGTTAAATCCCATACAGCTGGTTATAAACAAATCACTGATCTCGATGAACTTGTTAATCATGACATCATTTTGGTAAAAATGACGTATTTCATGTGCTGTGAGAGGCAGATTTGTGAATTTTTTAACAATGAAAAATGCGTTTTATTATAAAACAGAATATTATTTACAGGTTTTAAATTATCTAAGAATACCAATGTATATCCTTTGTTTAGTTCGATTATTCATTTACTATCGAGAGAATGTATTTAAATAATTCTGTCATGTTTTTATGTTCAGGCTAGGTATATTTTACATCGAGGTGCCTCATTAAATCGCTCTTTCGCAAGGGCGTACACTAAATAAATCTTGACCATTTTTTGAATATAAATAAAGGATATGTTCCTTAACTTGAAAAGTGCTGCTGCTTTCTTTAAATCGAGAGCGTGACTTAATAAGTACACAAAATAGTTGGTAAAAGTCAAACATATTTCGACATGGGCCTATTTACTTGAAAGTTTAACTATTAAAACGCGAATTCTATTCAAAGCAGCAGCACTTTCCAGAAAGTACAAAGTGTGCAGAAACAATTAATAGCTTGAGTTTTTAATTTTAAATAGGGTATGCCCTTGCGATATTGAAATTTGTTAATGACCTACATTCAGTACACGTACTATGCATTCATCACGTGACTGCCCATCGATGGGACCAAACTTCATACAGTACAGAGTAGGTTATACTATGCTTTTTCCATAAGTATTTAAATTCTGTGATAATAAAACAGCTGAATAAAAATAAATTCAGTTTTAAAAACAATTCCCGTTTTTGCACTTCTATTTTCCGTTGATTTCTTATAGTAAGCCTTAACAGTGCTGCGGATGCAGTGTCATATTTTATCAAAGATATTTGGGTTGGTGTGAAATAAAATATAGGAGCCATACTTAGATGGAAGTTTTTTTTACTTATTTTGAAATTAGAATATCATTTGCAGGCAGGTAGGAATGGCAAGCATGATGCCTGCATACTGATCAATTATAACTTTGGCAGTGTCAAGGGGAACAACTTTGGATTTGTGCATGTAAAATTAGTAACAACAAAAATATTTTGCTAAAACTTCGATAATCATTTAAAACAAACAAAAATATGTGTTAGATATAGGATCTCCCATGTTTTATGTCTAGTTATTATTCTTTATCCAATAAGTGTGTGTTTGCTATCCATGAGCCTTGATGAAGGAAATGAAAATACAGGATAAGTTGGATAAAAAAAAAATGTCCAACCACACAAACTATGGGAGTTTCTTCATCTTGTTTTACTTGGAACTATCACAATTTTACCTTTTTTATAACATGAATGCACTTTCTATGACTTTATCAATTTCATGCAAAAACCATTGTGACCACAATTGTTGATACGAAAACCATATCATATGACTCCACAGTACATGTATAAACCAAATACACTTATGACATGCGTGCTTGATATCTGAATTATAATCCAACAGAAAGAGAGGTAAAGAGAACACAATAGCCCGGGACTATGTCCTGCCTGACTACACCCACATCAAGAGGGGATACGTCCGACCCCAGGAGGAAACCACGGGGAGGGCCAAGGACGGAGAGCAGGTCAGTAATAAACAGGGTCAAACATTGAATCCTGAAGCCTCAGATATAGGGAGCAGGCCAGTAATATACAGGGTTAAACATTTAATACACATGTAATGAACCTTCAGAGATGGGGAGCGGGTCAATGATATACAGGGTCAAACATTTACTGTAGATCACTTAATATTCGCAACACCTTATTTTCGCAAGATTGCCATCAACTCTTTATAAGTGAGGCAAAATTTTCATGAATTGTGATTTTTGCTATATATAAATCTTAGGAATGCTATTACATATGTATATGCAAAAATGAAATTTTCATGATCAAACTGTCTCGTGTAATTACACAAAAATAAAGTTCTTGCAAATAAAAAAAGATTTTCAGTAATCCTGAACCCTCAGAGATGGGGGCAGATGTGGAAAAAAAATACAATAAAGCATACTTGTATCAAAGTGCCAGGAATGGACAATTTTAGTTTGTTATAAAATTAATGTAATTTGTAATATCTGTTAAGTTAACAATATTATTTTAAATCTTTTGAAAATGAAATTCATTTTGCTGTATTAAAGTATCAATTCAGTGTATAAATGTGTTTGCTCTAAAGTGTGTTTTAACGTAGATGTTTAGTTATCAAGAAAAAAGGTGGAAATAGTAAAAATCATACAGGAGGAAATTAATTTTGGATAATTATGCCAACTATTTTCTTGCAATTGGAAAGACTTGGAAATTCAGTTTGTATTCATAACCCATAGCTTATTTAACCTTTAAGATGCTATATTTTCTCTATTGTAGATAATTCGTATGAACAATGAGAGGTTTGCCATACCAGAGCTGCTGTTTCACCCATCAGATGTAGGGGTACAGGAGATGGGGGTGGCTGAGGCCCTAGTGTACGCCATCAGCACTCTGCCTGAAGGTCAGTTATATTCTACAATAACTCTAAAATGGTTCTGTAAATTTTCAGCCATACTGGGATAATCAAAGTTTGGGAGCTAAATCAATTGCCTCATATTAAAGGAAAGGGGATTTGGTTTCATTTGTATCAAATTATGTTCAAGGCTATAGACCATGTCACTTAAAACATCAATATGCACTCTACTTGCACTATATGCAGTATTCTGGTGAAGCAAATTCATGTACATGTATTTGAAAGGTGAAACTTCAATATAAATTTTGATATACTGTACAAAGCTGCTAAAAATGAAGCCTGCTTTTTGAAGTAAACATACAATATTTTCATTTCAGTTTACTGTACTTGTTTCCTGCTACCCGACCTACCCTATTTTTTTGCACCCAACCCTAAAGTTTTTTTAGCTTTTGGGGAAAAAATTCGAAACTGCAGGAATTTAAAGTTCCAAAAGTGAAAGAAATATATATTTCAAGTTTTATTTCATGTTTAAAACATGAACTTTCATAAAATTCCACTTGAGATGTGCATCAAAAGACATGGAAATTCATTTTAAAAGATTATATCGACCTAGCTATGACATTTTAAATTTGGTTTTGTAATAGTTCTTATCCAAAAAATACTGTTTGAAAAAGTAAAATAGAATGAAAAAAAAAAAAAAAAAATTCCTACCTACCTACACTGTTTTTTTCCCGACTGGTAGCAGGAAACAAGACTATTTTTTGGCCTGATTTCTTCTTAACTGATTTAAAAAAAAAATGCAGGATTGATTTCTCTTTCATTGACTTTTTTAATTTTTCAGAGATGCGGCCTCATATGTATTCTAACATTGTATTGACTGGTGGAAATTGTTTACTACCAGGCTTCTCTGAGAGATTGTAAGTATATGTACTTTTATGTACAATTTCCATCCTTGTGTACATTGTAGCTTGGAAAATTTTTGATATCAAATGGGGTCTTTGTACTTATTTTTATGTATTCAAACCTTGGTGCACACATAAGATTGACACTATATTTGGTGCAATCATGGATTAATGCTATCAGTATGCAATAAATTATTTTACATAAAATCCAACTTTGGCACACAACAGGATGTAGGGAAGCTGCCAAAATATGACCCTCATCAAGTTCATCTTCTAGTCATTTATTTATATTATTAAATGATAAGGAATTTTGGTGCTCTCTGATTGGTCTAGACGCCATTTACTGGTGTGTACCTCAGAGTGAGTTCACCTCAAATGACGTTCTGGGAGGTTTATTCGGGTTTTCCCTCTCGACCAACCATAGAGTTGCTTACAGTTTTTTCGACCAATCAGATTGCGTGTTTCAAAGCATGTGTCAGTGTGAATGTAAACATGTCAGACGCCATTACCAAGGAGATTAAGAACTTTTGAAAGTAAATGGTTGAGTATTTATTGTTTATTAATATTGTTTTTAACTTTTTAACTAATATTTGTTTAGCTGTTGAAGTATATCAACATGTAAAAAGTGTAATTACACTTTACATTATGGATGTTTATATTTTATGGAGACAAGAATGAAAGAGTCAGCAGTGTTGTAAAATTCCTCATCATTTAATAAAACGGTTATTGACTTTTTGGTCTGTATAGTCACGAGTAGAACCTCATCAAAAGTCAATTATTGTATAGAATAAACTCTTATCAGTAAATGCAATTTAAATTTTACAATCTGCAGAAAACTAAATCCAATTCTATGGCAATATTTACTATAAATATTTCTTTTTGTCAAGGAAGAGAATATCTTTTGTACATTGGTTTCTGCCTTTTATTCAGTGGTTTGGAAAATCTGTCAGTGTTTTCATGCATCAATTAGTTTAATTGATAAAAAAAGCCAGTAAATTATTACAATATCTAGAATGATTATCTTGAATACCATGGTAATCTTATATACCATGGAAATCTGGAAGTAAGTTGAAAGTATCATCCCCTTTTATCTATGTTATCCACAATGCCTGCAGTTAGCATAAATCCCCTTCCTTCAAACTTTTATAAGTATTTATGTTTTGTTAGTTATGCTGATGTAAGAAGTATGGCACCTGAAGAATATGACATCTCAACTAAAATGCCGAGCAAGTAAGTTTTTCATTCTTTACAAACTGTAAACGCATTACATTTAGCGGTGTATTCTATTTAGTGATTTTGGCGGAAAGCAGAGTCCGTTAATTCAAGTACTTCGCTGAATGTCTTGTATTTTAACCTTTATAACTAGCAAATTCAGACAGGGCTAAATCAAATCTACGCTAACTTGTTGAAAATTGAATTTCCGCCAAATATCATACCCCAAATATAATACATTCACAGTATATAAATTATGGTAACAAACACAATGATACAGACCATTTCAGTATTTTAGTTTTTTTGACCCGCCTCCCTTAATAAAAAGAAGAAAACAAAAAAATAGGACGGTTCTTCATGTTGGTTTTCCCTACCAATAAAGTGAGGTAAAATTTAATCTGAATGACAATCTCATCCTATTTTGCAGTCCAGTAACTTATGCGTGGGAAGGTGGGAGGATGCTAGCTAATACTGAGGAATATAAGAAAATGGCCATCACCAGGGAGCAGTACGAAGAACATGGTCACAGTATTTGTGCTGAAACTTTTGATATCTGACAATCAACTGAAGAGTTCTGTGAAGGAAATAATTTGTTCAGGTGAACAACTCTAAACCACCAATAGAAAATGTGAGCTTTGACTCTGAAATACTGGAAGAATCCAAAGTAGAAGCAAAATGTCTTTCAGGAATACCCCGAATAGTAAGAACCTCTTTCCATGATGTTAAAGATAAAAACTCAGAAGAATGTGTGATTTTATCAAGTACTGTCTGGAAGTACTGTTCAAGGTAGTAATAGTATTGTAAATGAATTGTAATTTTTTATGATGAACAGTGTGCTTAAATATCTTTTTGAAACAATGTATTTTACTTTAAAAAAAATATCGAATAAGTTTCCCGTTTGTAAAGGGGACCAAAAGGATACTGAAAGTCTGAGAAAATTACAGATTGGAAGGTATTTGCTTGTTAACATCTTAGAAAATAGCTTAATTGCATGGATAAAATTTGTTTATATAGGATGAAATTCCACAATGTGTTCAGTTCATTATATGGTACATATACATGTATATCAATTTGATTTTTTTTTTGTGAAAAAATGGTTGCAATTATTGTCACACAGTAATTTTTTGATGTAAATCTAATAAATGTGGCAAAGAATCTACATGGAAACACAAAATAAATTTAAAAAATGGTAAAAAGCATTTAATAACCTAAAATATAATGATTTATTTAATATTTTTTTATTTTTACTGCATGGTTTTATAGGTGTAAAGTTACATGTCTACATGAAAATTAAAGAATTAATTAAATTAAATGAAAGCAGGTGAACAATAACTATTAGAAAGTTTTTAAACTATGTTGAATATGCAGAATTATGCATAAACGATTGATGACAACAACCATATATATATTAAGGACAGATGATACAAACAAATTTTATCTTTTGAGGAGACTTAATATCATGTTACAAGTTTAAAATATTGGATAATTCTTAGAATTCTTTCTCCTAAGAATTGGAAAATGAAATAGACTTGGAAAAATTAGTAATATTTCAATAAAATTATGAAAATGGATAAAACACACTCAGTAAAGGTTTACAGGTGAAAACAAATTTCAGAATATGTTAGCTTAGTGCAAAATATATAATATAAACATCAGAAAAATATACCAAGCCAGGTGAATTATAATAGGAAAAGCAAAATGGTATAAATCAGCCTATATCATATGGGCTAATTTTTACCATTTTGCCTTTCCTCATATTTGTTTTTTCATTGAAATATTAGTAAAATTTTACAAGTCTACTTCATTTTCCAGTTCTTAGGAGAAAAAATTCTAAAACTAATCCACTTTTCTAAACTTGTGACATAATACTTATTCTCCCCCAAAGAAAAAAATTGTTTGTATCATCTGGCCTTAATCCTTAATTGTATATGAGTCTTGAATTAAGATAATCTATAAAAGATCTATTTAGTTGCTTGATAGGGGTTCACAGACTTGGTAAATTTGTAAGTTTTGATTATCCCCCTTCACCTTTAAGGTCAAGGTAAAATGTTGACATCCAGAGAAAGGTCATATTACAAGAAAGACATCAAAAACCTTATAACCAATTGTACAAAAGCAATGTTGAAAGTTGAAGTTTTAGGGGCAAAACAGATGGACTGAGACGAAAAATATGCACTCTCAAATCTATATACATTTACAAGGACATCACTATATGAATTCGGGAAATAAATTTGAAAATTTGTCGTATACTATAGAAACACTTACACTGTATTTTAATGGGGTCGTAATCTCATGGATTTGTCGAAATATATTAGTCTGTGGGGATGCGAGTTCGTGGTTGAAGAGGTGTTAAGTAAAGATGCTTATATTTGGAAAATTGCTTTTAGTGGAGGACGTGGTTTTGTGGGTCATCTTATACCTGGACGTAGAACTGTTGTGATATGTTTTTGATACTACAGTTCTAAACCATAATGCTACAGATCTCGTAATGCAAAGAACCTGCAATACTCCGGTATACATATATGACGCGATTTTCTTTGCAGCTTGCACTTTGCACTTTCCAGCATCAGCCAATCAATGGCCTTCATTCTCTATTTCTAGACATTTAAAAAAAATTTATAATCTGTTTACATAAAGGAAACGGACACAAATAAAATAATTTATACAGGTTGTTTAAAATATGTCTAAGATTAGGGATTGAAAGGCAAGTTGATTGACCAAAGATGACATTAGAATTTTACTTTAAGGTCAAGATCTAGTAAATGAAAGGTGCCTACAGATTTATCAAACTTGAGAAATAAATTCCTTTATTGATGCTTTACAACTTTAGGTTGGTCGAGTAAGGTGTTTCGGGGCATAATTTGCAGATAAACATGATGAAAAACTGTATTTTAAACTGTCATTTTCAATGAAAAATTAAGAAAACCAGTCATGAATATGGGAGTTTTTCTCATATTCTACAAAGGAAATGTATCCAGATTGCCTACAGTCTCTCAGAAAACGGTAATTAGTATGTTCATGGCCTCTTCTTTAAATCAATATCAAATTTAATATAGGTATCCGGTTTAATACTGTTCAGTCAATGAAGTCAACGAACGATTGATTGATTGATTGATTGTATACTGTTTAACGTCCCTCTCCAGAATATTTCACTGATATGGAGACGTCACCATTGCCGGTGAAGGGCTGCAAATTTGGGCCTATGCTCGGCACTCAGGGCCATTGAGCAGGGAGGGATCTTTATCGTGCCACACCTGCTGTAACACGGGGCCTCGGTTTATACGGTCTCATCCGAAGGACCGCCCCATTTAGTCGCCTTTTACGACAAGCAAGGGGGTACTGAGGACCTATTCTAACCCGGATCCCCACGGGACATCAACGAACGAAGATGTTTAAATAAGTATTTTTGAGATTTTGATATTCCCTTTATGACAAGTACCCCTAAAAATGACGTAAAATGTTTAGTCGCAGTACTAAATACCATTCCATGTTTCACAGACTGCACTACATTTAATAACAAGGAAACATGTCGTCATGTGCTTTTGACTGATTGATAAGCGAGTGCTAATTTTTCATTTTGAAAAGTTTGAAAATCTTGTGATTAAGACTTTTCCGACATAGGTCCTACCTTAATTTGTTTAGTAATTAAGTTTTTTGTGAGTTATTGGTGTGTGAGTCACACAGACTTGTCACGTAGGCATAGCGACGACACGGAGCTGTCACATTAATTTCTAGGAACACCGATGACTTGGATAAATAACACAAAAATCAAAGTACTGAAAGCACTCATGGGAGTTAAACATGGTGTAAAATAAAATCTTGGATTGGGAGGTTAAGTGAGTGAACAATATTAATATTTCAAATACAGACAATTGTTTCATATTTTTGAGTTGCAACAATCTTGAGAAAGACATTCAGAGACATTAAATAGCAAAAAAAAAATGCATGGGCCATAATGCTTGCCTGCCTACATTAGTCTTTATTTATATCCCCTGCTTTAAAGGGTATTTATTAATCGGGATTTGCGTCCATCTGTTTGTTACGCTTTAGGTATACCCATCTCTTATCCGCAACTCCTCTTACACCACTGAACGAAATTTTCATAGAATCTTTATTACATATTGCCGTTGTACACCCTCCATTACTTTAATTTTCATCCTACACATATTTTGGGTTTCCCATTGCAAAACATGGACACTGCCATTATATTCATATTAGAGGCGGTTGATCATTTATATTATTCACTGCTCACAGTCTTCAAATTTGTAATATATTTTTCCTTGGCACCTGTACCCATGTGTTATGAAAATTTCAGCTTCGCAGGAATAATATCAATGTTGATAAAATGCGGATTTTAACACAGCAACCTTTTAAGAGCTAACATGTTTGTTATATAAAACTTCTCTTTGAATATGAATGTATTTCAATCACACGAACATTATACATGGAGTACGTCAGAACTTAATTTTTTTTAATATTGTGAAGAAAAAAGCAATACCAAGTTAAAAACAAATATTCAATGACCAAACATAAAAACAGTGGTATATGTGAGAGGTTGTGTGCGTTAAATCGCGATTTTACGAAAACATCGGTGTCCCTTTTTGGTTTTAACATTTATAACAGTACTAGATTTACCGCTTTTAGCAGGTGATACTGCTGATTTAGTAATACTGTATACAGGGCTATTTTCGCCCCGTCTTATTTTCGCCCTTTCACACTTGCAAACAATTTTGCCCCGTTTTAAATTCGCCCAATCATAGTTTTGTTTAAGTTTAAGAAATTATACTGTATTCTTTGAATTCGCCCCGTTTTAAATTCGCCCAAAAGATCGTAGGGCGAAAGGGGCGAAAATAAAACGGGGGCGAAAATTTCCCTGTATTATTAGTTACACAGTCAGTTAGTGACCTAATATATACGGATTCATACAGGGTCTGAAATGGAAATCCGTATTGGGCGAGGCGAAGCCGAGTCCCAATACGGATTTCCATTTCAGACCCTGTATGAATCCGTATTAGGTCACTAACTGACTGTGTTACGAATTTATCCTGCTGAAGACCTTTATCGATATAAAAAGAATATTTTTGCATATTATGAAAATATTAAGTTTTTTCCAATAACAATCAACATAAAATATCGTTACAGTAACAAGAAATTTAAATAAACTACCTACGTAAACCGTTTCTTAGACGCCATTTTTATTTACAATAACAACGCTGCGAACGGAATCGCGTGCCCGATTTTCATATTACGCCTGGACGGAGATGTAATACGGAAAATTTCAGGGCGTCATGTGATCAGCTTTCATCCAATCAGCAATCTACAAATTTGTTTGAAGCGGGATAAACAGTAAATACGCATGCTTCCTAAAGTTTTTATGCATTAATGCATTCATTCAAACCAAGAAAATGTTCATGAAAAGTTTGAATAAATTCTGTGCACCTGTAAAAAAGAATAAAATTACAAAAATCCGGTACCGTCGGGCGTCGAAGACTAGATGTACCGCTTGCTGTCAGTATGTAGAGTTGTCGTTCGTATCTCTGTTCAGTGTATGACGCTACACTAAGATGAGTTCCATTACGAAAAACTTTTGAGATTCTTAATAATTTAGTTTTACTTTGAACGAAATCTAATATTCAAAATAAGATTACTTTATCATTACATTTACTTACATTATGAAAATTAGATCAATTCAGGAGAAAATGACATGAACTATTTGTGTTTATGCATGGTTTCTGTTGAATATCATCGGAGTAAATCGGTCGACACAGTAGCCTCGCTTTCGGCTCTATATAATCAACACAAATCACCGCGCATGTTAAATGCATGATGACCATTGGAGATGAACATAGTTCAACTCCCAAACAATCAGCAATATGTTTCTTAGATCTACAATCAGATAGATGGCGTGAGTAATGTTTGCAAGGCAAAGTGGCAGAATTTTGTAAGATTGTGACTCAATGTTGAAAAAAATGTGTGCAAAATTTTTAAAGAATTGCATAACGACAAATGGCGCAAATCTAGCAGCAAAGATTACTTAAGATTTCTTTTATCTTACGGATAAATTATGCTATTTCCGTTCAAAAAATATATATCAATCCATGCATCAACATTTTGTTTGTGTTATGTATCCTCAATAGGTTAAATATTCACAAGTCGGCCAATCATCGCCCGATCATCGAGCTCTGAGCTACAGTTT